GCCCTCCGTATAGACCGCACTAACCCTCACCGCCCGCCCTCTGTATAGACCGCACTAACCCTCACCGCCCGCCCTCCGTATAGACCGCACTAACCCTTACCGCCCGCCCTCTGTATAGACCGCACTAACCCTCACCGCCCGCCCTCCGTATAGACCGCACTAACCCTCACTGCCCGCCCTCCGTATAGACCGCACTAACCCTCACTGCCCGCCCTCCGTATAGACCGCACTAACCCTTACCTCACTGCCTGCCCTCCGTATAGACCGCACTAACACTAATTGCAATGGTCACCCTCCATAAAAACTACATTTATCTGAACAGAGTGGATGTCCTCTGCACTCACTGCCGTAAACTGCACTCACTCTCATGGCAGTGAGATCCTTCCCAGCATGAATCGAGCACTGCCCAACAGAATGCAATATTTATTTTTGCACTAGTCCTCTACCTTCTTTATGTGAAACTTGTTTGTAGCGGAGAGCTGGTATTTCACAGGTTAACTCCACTAAAGATCCCAGTGAGGCTCAGGAACAAGTAATAAAATACTGTAGAGCAAAAATCCCAGCAAGCAAGATAATCCACGAATATCCCCATACAGATCCCAATGACTGGACGATACACAGCATCAGGAGCAGAACTGACTTTTAATCCACACAACCTCCTTATAAAGCATTCTCCCATGCTCCCATAATTAAGACAGTAGCCAATAATGTCACAGTTACCTCCCACACATCTCCTCCCATCAGTGTGACACATAATCTCATTAAACATACTGTAGTTTTCCCCGAGTTCGGGATGTACCCCAAAACAGTTAGGTACAATGGGTTAAGTGGTACCCCCTGGTAGCCCATATCAAAAATTCACCTAGATCAGACCAGGGGTTGGGGAGTTAGGTGGAAGAGACAATTTGACCGACCGCACACAAGGTGGTAGCCGAAACGGGTTCCATGTGTTTTGGCCCTACAGTCGGTCTCCGTTTGGGAAGTAAAATACAAAGAATTACCTGACATCCACTCTTAAAATTGTGTTCGCATGAATCCCCTTGTTCAGTACTTTTAACTTAACGAGTGAGGGGCTGATTAGCCCTTCCGTTCAGGAGTTACGGAGCTCTGGAGGTCTCAGTGGTGTTCGGGTAATTGAGTGTCCGATTTGAGTTCCAGACACTTGACGGCCAAACACCACTGAGGTTTTCGTGCGTAAGATGGCCGCCGCCACTTGTTCGTATGCCGATGGGCGGCCACCCAGATACCTGCACAAAGTACCAATTAACCTGCGGTTAGAGAAGTGGGAACGTCTAATAAAGTGCACACTTCTCTCTGGGGTGGTCTGCTGGTTTGGTAGTTTTCATTCGTATGGGATACGAATGAAAACTACCGAACAATCACACGAATACTACATACACTTATATACATAAGGCAAAATTTACCAGAAAGCATATGAACATACAGAATTTTGAGGACAGCCCAATGCCCTCCGCTACATCGTTAGATGCTGCATTAATCAGTAATGTTCGTATTGTTTTTGAACTTGATTACAGGCACAAAGATCTCGCCATTAACGTTTACATACTTCCAAGTAAATCCTTTTGCTACTAGTCTAATGTTGTAATAGATTACATTTCCATCTGCATTCAGATTTTGCTTGAATACCTACTTATAGCCTATGGTCTGTAAGAATCCATATTTTGTTTTTGATTAAAGATTCAATTTCTTTTTATATTGCTCTCTTCCACTTTGAGACTTCTTTCGTAGGAAGTTTAGCAATAATGGTTCATATGTTGGTGCTTGTAACGGAATCATCAGTTACATTGGTACTTGGAGAGGACTGCAGATCAGCCATCTACTCACCGACTACAGGCCCTAGCCTGGAATGTGGTTCTGTTTTGGAAAGGCGGGTACACAGGGGGACATTTGGACTGATGCTTCCCCCTTGCTTTGAGTTTGCCATTGCTTCAAGGTTGGGAAAACCTTGTTTTAAAAAGATTTTTATTTTTCAGCCATGTGATGACTCTCAATTGCCCTCTATTGGTGAAATTGGAAAATACATTGTTTGCATAATTACAATATTGCAAAAAATAAAAACTGGCCTGTTGCATCTATATATCGATATGTTTTTCCATAGTTTTTTAAATTTGTGATTGTTCCATATTGCAAGCATTATGTTGCATGTTCTACACATTATGTATGTTTGTTTATATTTTCATAGTTTTCAGGTTGGGAGTTCTGCCAAACGAGGGCACTCTTGGTCCCTGGACCTGCAGTAAGGGTGCTTTTTGGATAGGTGATAGAGGTGGTGGTGGTGGTGAAACATCAAATGACACCAAAAACTCAAGGGAACACCACATATCCACAGAAAGCACTGGAATTTTAGGTGACCGGGATCTCTGACTGGAACTCTGTGCTTTTTTGGTAGAATGGGTGCTCCAGAGAGACCTCTCCGGGCATGACACTGTTGTGGGGATATGGGCATGGGAACTATGTGTTTTGACTGTTTTTGTTAACCAGGTGCCAAGATGTCTGACCCCAGGTATAAAAGTGTGACCTGTAAGCCAATTAAACAGTTTTTGTTTTCCCGTCACCAAGTCTCAGCTAGTGCTTGAGTGAGGGAGCTATAACATTGGCAATGAGCTTCAGCACTTTGGGACTATAAACACAAGGGAAAGGGAGACCTTAGCGGTGACAACCCAGCTACTCGTGAGTATACCACCTCACAGCGTTTGAGTTTCTCTGACTGTTTAGGAATAGAGGGCCTTAAACATTTTCCTGTTATTATTATTGGCAAGTCTTCGCTATCTTAACTTTTTCTTGCACAATAAAAATATTTTAATGTATTTTCTTCATCCATGTAGAGGCTTTATCTTGTCTATGGTAGCCTTTTGTAAGCAGTTTTTTTGCAAGATGAGATTTATATCCACAAATAAAACTAATGGAGCTCCATTACTCCAAATGAGTACCTCCAAGAAGACAATCTCCCTGATCCCGCAAAGCTGTTAATATAACCCATCACCCAAGACTTGATGAAGTGTGAAAATAACAAACACTTTATAGAGAAAAGTACAGGTTTATATACACCGACCCCCAGCATTGGGTCTCAAGCAGGACAATGGGGAATCCTGCCCAGGCATCTGTGTGTCTGAGAGAAGATTGCAACACACACACACACACTCTCTTTCTTTCTCTCTTTCTTTCTCTCTCTTTTTCTCTCTCTTTTTCTCTCTCTTTTTCTTTCTCTTTTTCTCTTTTTTTCTCTCTTTTTCTCTCTTTTTCTTTTTCTCTCTTTTTTCTCTCTCTTTTTTCTCTTTTTCTCTCTTTTTCTCTCTTTTTCTTCTTTTTTTTTTTTTCTCTTCTTTTTCTCTCTTTTTTTTTTTCTCTTTTTTTTTTTTTTTCTCTTTTTTTTTCTCTCTTTTTTTTTCTCTTTTTTTTTTTCTTTTTTTTTTTTCTCTTTTTTTTTTTCTCTTTTTTTTTTTCTTTTTTTTTTTCTTTTTTTTTTCTTTTTTTTTTTTCTTTTTTTTTTCTCTTTTTTTTTTTTTTTTCTCTCTTTTTTTTTTTTTTTTCTCTTTTTTTTTTTTTTTTCTTTTTTTTTTTCTCTTCTTTATTTCTTTTTTTTTTTTTTCTTTTTTTTTTTTTTTCTCTTCACAAATACTCAAAAACAGATTTATACATTGATAGCCCCCACACATGTAGTATTCCTGGAACGCCCAATTTGTGAAAATAACTTGATCCCAAGGCTGGTGAAAACGCCACCCGGTTAAAGTTTTGACTCAAGATGATTATAGATCCTTTTTTTTTTTTTTTTTTTTTAAAAGTACTACACACCCATCCTTCACAAAAACTTTATTTGTGCCCTTTATGTGCGCAAATGTAACACCCTTGCTTCTCTTATAAACTGACTTGTTTTGCATGATATACTGCCCGTTGCTTTGTGTTGTAAATGCTTATATTTCACCACTTCTTGCATTTTCAGCTCTACTTCTTTAAGACGTGCTATAATGTATTTTACAAGACGTTCTCTCTTGTCTCTAACATGAGAATGAATGAATTGTAGCTCTTCAAAAGACTTGATAAAATCAGAATCATTTTGTCTTCTATATCCCGTTTCTTTCCAAACGGCTGCAGAGAGAGAGAGAGGAAGAGAAGAAGCACAGGAAAACAACATACTTTCACTCCAGCACCACACAGACCATAGAGACAACACTACCTCCAACACACTCAGACTAGACACTAGTAATTATTACTAACTCCCTATTTGCCCCTGTAAAATAAGAAAGTTAACTGTAATCCAGCAGCAAGAGGGTTTTCTCACCACAGCTCTGGGGAAGCATTGGGGTACTATTGAGCATCCTCCAATAGTATGTTTCTCTATGAGAAGCCTTGCCTTCCACACTGAGTTCAAAGTAAGCACGGAAGATTCCCCCCCACCCCCCGACTGCCTGATTGAAAGCCAAGTTGGAGTTTTATGAAAATAAAAATAAGACAGGAGATACTGTTAATCCCTATGAATGCTTGGTTGTATAGGGAGAGGTATTAGCAGTAGAAAGAGGGAAGTGCTCATGCCATTGTACAGAACACTGGTGAGACTTCACTTGGAGAATTGTACACAGTACTGGAGACCGTATCTTTTGAAGGATATTGATACCTTAGAGAGGATTCAGAGAAGGGCTACTAAACTGGTTCATGGATTGCGGGATAAAACTTACCAGGAAAGGTTAAAGGATCTTAACATGTATAGCTTGGAGGAAAGACGAGACGGGGACATATGATAGAAACATTTAAATACATAAAGGGAATCAACACAGTAAAGGAGGAGACTATATTTAAAAGAAGAAAAACAACCACAACAAGAGGACATAGTCTTAAATTAGAGGGACAAAGGTTTAAAAATAATATCAGGAAATATTACTTTACTGAGAGGGTAGTGGATACATGGAATAGCCTTCCAGCTGAAGTGGTAGAGGTTAACACAGTAAAGGAGTATAAGCATGCGTGGGATAGGCATAGGGCTATCCTAACTATAAGATAAGGCTAGGGACTAATGAAAGTATTTAGAAAATGGGGCAGACTAGATGGGCCGAATGGTTCTTATCTGCCGTTACATTCTATGTTTCTAAAACTCTTTAGCAAAATAAATAGATTTATGAGTTTGAAATGTTCCTGTATATAATGAGGTGATCTAAATGTGTCTTGTTCTTCCTTATATTAGCAACACATTTATTGAAGCTTTATATACTTCCCAGTGTTCATGACATATTTATTAATATTTGTTTTTTCCTACATTTATATACATTACGTTGCCGTAAATCTTGCTGGGACCATGTGAGGAATAAAGAAATTAGTAGCAGTACCTACCGGACAAGATGCGATTACTCCCTGCTGGGAGCTTCTTGTTGTCAGAGTATTTATATCGGCAGACATTTTGTGCTATGATAGAAACTAAAAGTGTATATTCTGAGTCACTCTGAACAGACCAGACTCCATTTTGTTATTTCAAGTTAACAAAAAGACACTATATTTCTATCTGTAAGCTAACCACTTTCCCAGATTTGAGGAATGCATAGTATATACAAACAAGTGATAAGGAAGGGGGTTGGATAGACTGTCTAAAATGCTAAAGGAATATAATCAAATCTAAACCCAGACAATTGTGACAGAGAAGATTAAATAATTTAATATTTAACTGTCTATATATATAAGGTACCATTGTATGGAAAAGGGTAAACTTAGTTCATGATCTGTCATATCAGAAATTATGGCAGGAATTGCAGACGCTAAGTCTGGACAAAATTTAAGAAACCCTTTGAAATTTTAAATTATGGCGCTATAAAGATAACGCAAAATGACGTCAAAATAGCCACCAGGAAAAGTTAACTCTTTCCTGGATAGGTATGTTTAGTGGGACAAGACTGCCCTCTACAGACCAAATAACTAATTTGCGATCTGGAAGATAACCACACCTCTAGTGCTTCTATTGGGTTATCAA